TATTTTAGCTGTAACAGAGTGAGTTGTACTCAGCAGGTAACCTGTTAGAATCTCCTGCTACATTTTCTTCTGTTCTCACTGTTTTACGCGGTTTTCCTTATTTATCCAGTCAATTCAAATATTCAGTCAAATATGCTGAAATACGCTAGAAAGTTAGTAGAGCCTGTTTATCCTCCAACTGCATTTAAGATATTTTCCCCAGCTCACACGGCAAAGGGCTATAACTTCTGCAATTGAAAATCTCCGTTAAATAGGCAAACTTCTATATCAGATTTTAGGATCTAACGGCATTGAAGAATCAATGTTTTTTTTTTCAAACATCATGTGAAATTATGCATAGACAGACCTTCAAAGTTTTTTTGAAGGGAATGACGTCTCCTTGTTCCGACCTGAAGATGGAGGCTGTTTGCCCGAAAAAGTTGGTAGGTTTGTCTACCTGCACGACCACACAGCGTTACTACCCAGAAAACGTATATGGACAAGCAACTTTTACTTTTACTTTTTTGTTATTTTATTTTTCTTTCATTTTTTCTCCGCCTGTCTTTTTATCTTAATTTCTCATTTTTCCTTATTTCTCACACCGTTTACAGGAGACAGGGTGACATCTAAGAAGTTTCTCTTTCTAACCATGGAGTGAAACTTAATTCATTACTTGGGAACAAACCCTAGAGACACTGGTTCAACTGCACGTTTTATAAGTAAAGGACGAAAGAAATATTTGCCTTTCTGTTTTATGAGTGACAAATCACATTGAATATTACGTATTAAAATATATAAATATTTAAAAATAACCGTCAATCACAATAAAATTAAAAGATTAAAAGATTAAAATATCATATTATGTTCCCTATCGAGTACTCGATTTACATATGGAACTTACACAACATGTTTCGGCTAAATGTAGCCATCTTCTAGTACCATTTGTTGTGGTATCCCATTAACATATTTGCGACCTGGGATACCACAACAAATGGTACTACAACGAATGGTGAATCAATATAAAGGACAAAACATCAGAAGAAAAATCATTAAAAATCATTAAAATCGTAAAAAGTAATTCAGTAAAAAGTTTATATATAATACACCAGAAGATGGCTACATTTAGCCGAAACATGTTGTGTAAGTTCCATATGTAAATCGAGTACTCGATAGGGAACATAATATGATATTTTAATCTTTTAATCTTTTAATTTTATTGTGATTGACGGTTATTTTTAAATATTTATATATTTTAATACTATTAATTCACAATATGACGCACCTACAATACCTTATGAATATTACGTACTTGATCTCAGGATCGGAGTTTATGTACAGCCTTAGAATGGGATGAGAAGATAAACTTGACCGGATTTCGGGCACATTTTCGAGTTTCTATACACTTATTCACCAGGATGTATTAACAAAACCACGAAAACTCCGATTAAACATGGCCTTCACTCCAAGATTCGAAACCCGTACCGTCAAAAACGATTCCAGAGTGTTACGGCCACACCATTTATCTCCGTGAATTACGAACTGATACGGATTTTAAAGGAGTCTCTCGTGACCTTCTGCAAGGTACTGTACAGTAGTTTCCCTGGTTAGACTGAGGAAAAAGACGAAATTCGTATTCAGTACACTTGGTAACACATCCGAAGATTGAATCGAGTACCTCCCTGTTACTTTCCTAAAGAATTCCTGCAACATTTCGCTTTCTGCGTGATAAATTCTGCCAAACTGAAAATGTAGTCATTTGAGCCAAGTTCGATTACCATTATTAACTAGCCCGAGAAAGTTCTTCAGCTCAATATTAGAGCGGATTATCGTAATTGCCAAAACAATCCCGATCGATAATCGAATCCTTTAATCGAAAGGACGACTTTTGGGGCAGGAACGCAGAGAAATTTGTTCTGAAGCAAGATCAATATTTAAGTAGCCTACCCTTTTACTTTAACATAGCCCCTGGGTTTTATGCAAAGTAGTTTGCTACTGCCTGTTGGGTTGCCTAACAACGTAGGCAGAGGGGAAAAAATAATCCACCCAACTCTGTTTATTTCTTGCTTCTTCGTACATGAAGTTTGTCATCTCTCTCCCTGTCTCTACAAGCTGCTTTAGGGTGTAAATTTATTCCTTGTCATAAAATTAAAGTCACTGTCTTGTATGGATGTTAGAGAAAATGATGCCAGCTAAAGAAATTTTTAGCCATAAATTACATTGAAAATTATGGGCAATTTAATTGATAAAATAGGTTGTATACAACAGTGCATTAAAAATAAGGTCACTGCCACGTCGTAACCAATTCATGTTCCACTAATATAAGTAAACCAAGAATAGGTAAGAATAAGGTTTAAATGCGTCATGTTTGTGTTTTATAATCAAAATATATAATATAATTCAGGTCTATACACGAACTTTATTTACAGATGTTAAAATTTTAAAATTTAAAATTTGCGCTATTCATTCGTTATAACGATGTTACAATACTGCGCCTTCATTTACTACATGTTTCGATGCTTACTTTTACAAATATAGAACAATATTCGAAACTTATTTACATATAGATAAATAACTCCTATGTTTATTAATTTTATTTACAGAATAATGAAAAACAAACATAAGATACATAAAATAAGAAGATCAACAGAGCACATACTATAATAATGAACAAAACGGATGAATAAATTGAAAGACTTGCATTGTAATATAAAGTAGTTTTAAAGAAAAAACCTGAAGACGATGCTTCGCATCGAAACATGTAGTAAATGAAGGCGCAGTATTGTAACATCGTTGTAACGATGAATAGCGCAAATTTTAAATTTTAAAATTTTAACATCTGTAAATAAAGTTTGTGTATAGACCTGAATTATATTATATATTTTGAATAGGTAATAAGTTGTATTAGACACACATAATCCGGCCTCAGAAACAACGAAGTGTTCACACCCTTGACCGGCCTTGCTGCAGTTGTCTTTGTGCGATCCGCCCTTTGACAGGCAGCGCAACACAAATGTAATTTGCGCAGGGCGGCAGCAGAATAACGACTTCTCGTCAGTAATCTCGTCCCCAGCCGTGCTTTTATTGCTCTCCGATACTGTAATTTATTTCGCGCTCTCAAATGCAGAGGGCTGCCAACTTCACACTTTGTATGGTCACTTGATTGCAGTGAGGCCTCACAACGTACGTGGAGCACTGCCGTTCTAGAGAAGCTCGTAACACGCTCGGCTAGTCAAGAAATTCCCCTCCAGTTCATGGAATCCGAAGGTTCGATGCCGTATTCACAAGAAGTTGCCACTGTTTCGTATACTGAGCAACATGAGCCTAGTTCACACCACCCCACCGTTTTTCTTTAGCAGTTTTTTTAATATTATATTCCCATCAACGTTATATCTTCTATACGTGTTTTCCGATTGAAATGTATGAATTTTTATACGTCCCATGCGCTCTCCATGCATCGCCCATCCCATCTTCCTTGATTTGCTCGTTCTGATAATATCTGGTGAAGGGTTTAAATCAGGGGTGACCAACCCGCGGGCCGCATGTGGGCCGCCTTGAACATTTTTCCGGCCCGCGAGATTCATCACACTTTTACAAAATATATTTATTTTCTAATGAAAAATTGTAAACACAATAATAATAACTCATTATGTTTCAATTTTTCACTCCAAAAAAATGTCTATAATTTTATATGTGGCCCGCGGAGTTATGATGCATTTCCAAAGTGGCCCGAAAGATCATTTGGGTTGGCCACCCCTGGTTTAAATTATGACGTTCCTCATTACGCGGTTCTTTTAATTCGTTGGTTTCTTCCATCTTTTCAGGTATGAATATTCTTCTCGACACCGTGGTCGAAGGCAATGTCTGTGTATGTTTAATTAATGTGCGATAGCATATTTTACGAACATTAGAATTTTGTGCCATAGAATTCAGCTCATTTCTACATCCTCTACACACACACATGTATCGAGGTTTATGTCTGTTCAGCCGTGCGTAGGAAACTGTGGGATTAGGCATCTTTCTTAAATATAATTTTCAGTTTTATTTCAGTATATAATCTTTGCAGCTGACAACGTGTCGATAAACAAACAAAAATCATGTAATGTACAGAATATAGTGCGCTACACCAACCTTCCTTGTGAAAGGAACATGCCTAGTTGTTTTTCTCGTGAAGTTGGCATCACTCGTATGTTGAAGTGAAATTCAATATTGCCAGCCGTCACAATCAGTCGTCATAAATGAAACGGCTTAAACCTAACAAAATTAATGTCGTATCCGCGCGAAGCAAACATTCTCCAATTCAAATATCACAACGTTTTACGACAGCATCGTTAGAATGTTTCGGTGTTTTACGAGTGGTATGAAATTTGAAATACGTCAATATTGACAGTCTTATTACGTGATATTTACACTTTAACGTAAGTGAAGGACACCTTATGGTCCCATCCATATATATGTCTGTCTGTCGCATCTTTTATCACACTAGGGCAGAACGCTCCTTTCGGAGCTCCTCGGAGGGGCTGGTCAAGTTTTTAAAAAGCAACCAACCCCTTCGGG